GTGCACATTGGCGTCCTTGCAAAGCGAGGGTCCGGAGAAGGGTCCCACCACACAAAGCCGGCTTTAGGTGGGAGGCACCTAGGCATATGCCTAGGGCACCACTATCACATGGGGCACCAATTTTCAAAAATAAAACTACTATTATCAGATAATTTATATATAGTATTTGGGAGGGAAATTACACCGTACCGCCGGCTGTACAGTGCTCACCGTACAACCGTTTTTTTTGTAATTAAATATGCGATTCAGCCAGGCAACTCAGGGATGAAGACGACGAAGGACAGCGGATCGAAAGTCGGGTGCAACTCGCGAACGCATAACGCCGATGGCCAAGCTTCCAAGTGCCCCAACTTCGGACTCGCAAATACCGATCGATAGAAGCAGAGACGGCTAAGATGCTTGGCCGATGAAGAGGCGACTTTACCTCTGCGATTCCGATTTTCACAGCCCTATTTTCCCCTCTTGCTAATTTCTGACCACCTATGTGCTGCCACAATTTTTTATTATAAAAAATCTATTACTCCGTACATTCTTAGTAATATTATAAAAATGAGTTTAGTTTTAAACTCAAATGAGTATATGCCTAAAAGAAATGAACTCATACAAAATAATATTGAACACATCGAAAATGAGTTTTATATTAAACTCAAATGAGTATACGCCTAAAAGAAATGAACTCAACAAATTAATATTGAACACATTGAAAATGAGTTTTATGTTAAACTCAAATGACTACAACGCCAAAATGAATGAGCATACACAAATGAGCTTTTGAATTTTTGTAAGTTACATATGCTCATTTGATATTGTTTTATGCTCATTTAAAAATGTTTCACATTTCAAACGCATCATTGGATTCAGATATTGTAATAATAAACGAAAAAATAATAAAAAGAAATTGAATTAGAAGATATGAAGCAGAAATCACTGGTGCTCATTGTTAGACCCCTAATACTCAAAAGAACAGACTCGATACTCATCACAATCGCATAATGAAAATCACTGGTGCTTATGATTTCAAGTTGATGCTCAATGTCTTGATGTTCAATTAAAAGTACTTATGTTTTTCATATCAATTCTCATTTTATAAATTATTATGCTCAACGGGTATTCATGTTATGCTCATTTGTAAAATGACATAGCAATGCATATTTCAAAAGTATCATATTGCATTAAATTCGCATCCTGAAATTCATAAGAGTTGATTATAGATATAATTTAATAAGTTTTTATAAAGAAAAAAATAAGGAAAAGAAAGTAAATTTGAAGAGATAAAGCAGAGATCACGATGCTCATTGGTATCCTTCTAATGCTCAACAAAATTTGTCTCATGCTCACTAGACGTGTTTTATTGCTCATTTTAAAAAAATGAGCATTAAAAACATGATGCAATAAAATGTTTCCTCAGAAAACACTACTCTATATGTAGTGGTGGATCTTGCAATCGAAAGTTGGGCGTTTAAAAAAAATCATGATTAAAATGTTGCACAATAATATTATTTGATCCCACAATTTAAAAAATGTAACCTTTTCAACAAAAAATTAGCAATAAGGGTTAAGCGTAAAAAATATTATATAAAAAAAACAATGTATGTAGAATACATTATTACATCAAATTTTACACATGTATTTTTTTCATTTTATTTTAAAATTTTTGGGAGTTCGCGTGATTGACGTGAACACCCCTGAACAAATGGCGTCTGCTCTTGTATATATATAATTTATTGTGTAAAAGATTACTGACTAATCTGAAAATGTAATTTTAGTTTTTGTCTGGGGCACCAAACCAACTAAAGACGGCCCTGCCACCACAAAATTAGCACGGTTCATGATTAATGAAAATTATACCTAACTGAAATGGACAAGGTGGTCTTAGGACTGTCTGAACTTCGAAACTGTAGTGACTAAAATACCAAAACACATAATCTGTTTTCATTCACTTTATAGTGTAAATGTCACGTGTTGCTAGAGGGAAATAAGTTATCATTTAATACTCCGTATTAGTTTGCACAGAGGTTTTATCTGTAGCATGAGTGCATAACGTGCTTAGCATTTTGTTGGCCATTTCTTTGTCAAGGCTTGTGAGATTATTCGAGTAGAATATGATGCAAAACGGAAGCTGCTTAGACAGACAGAATCTTTGGGAGAAAGTCAACAGAAAATTGATAAAACACGAGCTGCTGTGAAGGATTTGCATTCGAGAATTGGTGTTGCAATTCATAGAATAAACACTATCTCGAGGAAAATTGAGGAATTAAGGGATGAAGAACTACAACCTCAGCTAGAGGAGTTGATTGAAGGGTATGCCTATTCTATTAACCATTTTTCAGTACTCCTTAGTTAAATTGCTTAACTTCTCTTTTGGTTAAGAGCATGGATAATAAAAGTTCATACCCTTTGATATCTACATAAAACAACATCCGAGCCTTAATCCCAAAAGAGTTTGGGGTTGGCTACATAAAAGTTCATACCCTTATATATCTACATAAGCCAAATATACCCAACGTCATATAAGAGATGGACACGAATAATATAATAATTACAAAATTATTTCTTAGTTTACAACTTTACACATTTCTCTATATTTTTCGTAATTTTTCTCCACAGTATTGAGCACAATGTCTAGAGTTAGACATTGTGTTTGACATTGTGGGGACAAAGTTACCAAAAATATTGAAAATCTTGAAAAGAAAGTGAGAGAAATTATGCTTCTTGATTGTTATATCCCATTATCCCGTCCATTTCATGCTATGCCGGGCACTTCATTGCAACGGAGATGCTCATTTCAGGTAGTGACATGAAAAGATTACCAATGTGAGATACTCTAAGAGCTCCACATGATTGGTGAGCGGGTAGGGGGTAGGGTTGGGATGGGGTCATGGGGTGTCAGTTGAAGGGTATACGAGAAGAGATGGGTACGGTACACACGGGAAGAGACTCAACTAGTGTGTGCAGGCCCGTCCTGAATAATAATGCAGAATTTGAAAAATTTTCAAGATGCTTCAATATTGTAATATTTTTCTACTCCTGGGAATGTTTTATTTGATGTTCTTTTATTGACAGATTAAGGAAGATGTGGGAGGAAATGCTCAACTGTCATGCAATGCAGCTCCATATAATTTCAATAGCACATTTACCTGGAAACAAAAAGCTACCCATAGATTCAGAGTCTCACCGGCAAACGACCATCCATCTCGAGCACGAGTTGATTTCCCTATCTTCAAGCTTTACAAAGTGGATTGGTGCTCAAATGGCATACATGGAAGCTATAAATAAGTGGCTGTTGAAGTGTGTTTTGATGAAAGAGCAATCCTCCAAGAGGAAAATAAGAGTGCAACACCAACCAAATCTCAGATACTACGGCCCACCTATATATATGATATGCGGCGCCTGGTTGGATATGTTCAATCTTTTGCCTACGAAAGAAGTCGCTGATTCTATGAAGGCTTTAGCAGCAGAAACAGCCCATTTCTTACCACGGCAGGATAAAAACAAAGGGAAAGGCGCGAATGGAGATGCAACTTTGGATGAATGGATAATTGATTATGATCAATTCCGTACAAGTATGGCTCTTTTCCTTGGTAAGCTAAATAACTTCGCAGAGTCATCTGTGAAGATGTTCACCGAGCTCCAAAATTCTGTTGAAAAATCAAAAAAGAATTACGCTCACGTAATGCCAGCAGACCAATAATATTCCTTTAATATCTTAGTGTCATTATCAAAGCTGCATAAAACAAAAAACTACACGAACAGATTGACAGTCAGCAATTGTGGGATCAGTGTACATAGGAGAGGAAGAAATAAATGCGGTAAATGAATAAAGGCTGAGGAGCTCAGTATAGTTTATAGAGATTATATTTATATGATAAATCAATACAACAACATCCAAGCCTTAATCCGAAAAGATTTTGGGGTCGACTAACATGAATTGATTCATGATTTATATGATATATCAATAAGCAACAAATTTTGTTTTTATGCTCTTATTACTTCTGCTGTACATATGGCCATATGGGGCTTGTATAGCATATTCTTTTTGGTGTTTTTCTTGATGAATACATATATTATATACCAATATGCAGGGGCGGAGCCAGAAAAATACGTGAGGGGGTCAGGATTTATAAAAGGGTTTTTTACAAGAATATTACTAAAATAAAACTTATTTACATAAATATGACTATTCATTACTACAACGTAGTGTTGTAGTAACTTACGTTCAAAACATGAACATGAATTACTATGATTTCATTACTACTCTAGTAACTAGTCATATTTTTGTAAACCATCTTTATTTTGGTCATATTTATGTAATTATTTCTTTATAAAATTATACGAAGTATACTGTATCAAAATGATGGATAGTTATTACACAATACTTGAGTTAAATGTTTCATATGTAGCTGAGATAAATGATAGTTTAATGACCATTTTTCGGTTAATGTATTGATATATATGTAATGTATCATAATGTTCACACAACTAATGACTGGATAAGGTGTTTTATTTTTAAATTTAAGAATATAATCGACGTCACACATCAAATTTTGTTTATTTCGAATTAAGATGTTGCTGATTTTTCCAGAAGTCATAACTTTTTACTCGTAATGAGTTACGGGACCCATAATATATCAAATCGAAGGTATTTCAGAGCTCTACATTCTTGAACATTCAGCGGGGTCGGCTGACCCCCTGACCCCCCCGGGCTCCGCCCCTGCCAATATGCATAACGTATTGATGCCTCGTTTCAATTGATCAGTCTGTAGAACTGCATCACATGTTTTATTCTTTCATTCTCAATTGCGTTAAAAGCAAATGTCTCTTATTAAATGGAGGGGGGTGGGGGGGGGGGGGGTGACTTTGATATCAGCTTGCTTGGTTTAAATGCCTCGTTTCAATTGATCAGTCTGTAGAACTGCATCACATGTTTTATTCTTTCATTCTCAATTGCGTTAAAAGCAAATGTCTCTTATTAAATGGAGGGGGGGGGGGGGGGGGGTGACTTTAATATCAGCTTGCTTGGTTTAAAGAGAGAGGAAAAGAATATACGAAGTACAATAATCTATTTCACCATTAGTAATAATTAATTAATATTTTAACAATCATAATCACATTTAAAAACTAAAAGGAAGCTCTTGAGCTTTTTCTCTCTCTAGAACCGCCGCCTAGGCCGGTCTAGGGTTTGTCCGGAGACGGCTCTCCGCCGTGTCTCCGAGTCCTTTATTCGTTGGATGTCTCTTTGGATTGTTTGGAAGACGTTGCTTGTTGTCGAAGCCGTTGTCCGGGTTCCTCGGTCCGAGCTATTGAATGAAGGGTTTCAATACGGGTGCAGATAAGAGTTCTCTCGCTGTAACCCCGCTTCGTCGGCGGATATGGAGGTGGAAACGAGTTTCGGATATTCGTTTGAGTTTTCTCTTTTTGGCCTGGAAAGCTTTGTGGACAAGTACAAGACGATGGAGATTGGCGCAGAGGAAGAAGAACTGGATCTGAATAAAGCTGATGTTGAAATTGTGGCGGATGAACGGCGGACGCGTCTCCCTCCTGAGCCGCCGCCATGGAGTGCAAGAAAATCCAGGGTTTGGAAGAAGATGGATGAATTCGTTTTTAATTTCATTTTACTCGATTTGTGTTTTTCTGTCGAATTGTTTGTTGTTTGGTTCTGTTTTGTTCTTTGTTTTTGCTTTCCTCCAGTTGGTAAGACATTGATTTTGGATATGGGGGATGAGAGGAATATGGTAACCGTTTTTGGCTTTTTGTTTCCCAATTTTGGATCAGCGAATTTTATTGCTGCGGCGATTAATTCCGAGTCTGGTTCAAGGGATAACGGTTGTCAGATTTCTTTCTGTCTTTTGACCCATACTTTAAAAAATTATTGGTTATTAATATAAGCCGAATTCTTCCAAAAAAAAAAAACAATCATAATCACATTTCCATCATTTGAAATGGAGCCAAAGACTCACTATTTTTTGGCTTGAAAATATCATGGAATAAAGCAAAATGGCTCACTAAACTGCCTGCGCTTCTTTGTTATGAAGTTGCAGTCAGTCCATGCATTTTGGACGCGATTTTCACTATGGGTGTGACACCTTAGAAAAAATAAAAATAAAATAATAATAATAATAATAAAACAAATAAAATTTATCTGCTAAAAAAATAATAGAAAAATATATATTAATAATAATAGAAATTAAATCATAAATCATATATCATTTATTTGATAGATTAATCATATATAACCCATTTGATAAAACTAAAGTTTTAAAGATGATAAAATAAACTAGGTACTTTGCCTACACTACATACATGTAACGTAGAAACAATAATAATAATGTTAATAAAGTACATCATTATTAAGGAGTGAAACTTTAGAGAGTACATTTTATGGCGGCATATACTCCTTATAATCCATACATGTATATCTACATAGTACATACATACACATACTAATATTCCACATTTAGCATGCATGATCATATACCATTACTTGGAAGGTAACGGACCAGGAGTTAAGTCCACATAATAACCATTATTAAGATCATTATAATGCTAATAAATAATAACCCAACGGACTGCCGAGCATGGAACGGTCATGAGACTGCATATATATGTACGCACCCTTCGTGGCTTCCACATGACCGACCACATGCGAACGAGTGAGCAAAAGAACTAACAAAAAAAAAGAGAGATGAAAGTGAGAGAGAGATTAGAGAGGAAGAGAGGGCGTCGTCTTCCGAGAAGAAATACGCCGATTATCACGTCGGGATTGCCAGGCCGTTTTCTCACCGGAGAAGAGGAAATGCCGGACTGTTTTACGACGGGGCTAAATCATCGCTGCCGGACCGAGTTGCTGCCGCCAAACGTTGCCGTCGTGACGCCATTTCTATAGGGAGGAAGACCGCCTGGACTGGTGAAGCTCGCCGTTGGTTATCCTTGTTCGTCGATCGTCGGTGGTTCTGACTCCGAGGGGGAAGCAACATAACTGTACGTAGCTTCTAACTCTGTATTATGTTTTAGTTATTTTTGGGCTGGGTCCTTTATTTAAAAATAGTTGGGCCGGCCAATAATAATAATAATAATAATAATAATAATAATAATAATAATAATAATAAAAATAATAATGATGATAAAAATACTACTACTAATAGTAACGATAATAAGAATCATTGCAATAAAAGTGGATTATGTTAATATTGGACTACTACTTATCTATATTGATCACTTCTAAATTGTCACTTTTAATTAGTTGTCATCTTTCTAATGAAATAAGTGTTTACTATAGGCCTGTTGTTAAAACTGAACGTTATAGATGGAGAAAAATAATGAAATAGGCTAGCGATGTAATTAAATAAACTACAATTTTGGACGAAGGTGGATAATTAAAGGTGAACCGTTCGTGAACAATTAGACCATTACTAATATTATATAACAAAAAAAGGGTTAAATAGACGGATCATGTGGAACCGAATAAATAAATTATAAGTAAATCAATATTTAAAATGCACTAATTAAGTGTGAAGCTAAATTATGGACTGCTATACAGATTAATTATTAGTAAAGAAATGAAGCCTTAGTAGTAGGAATTTATAACGGAATTTAATTATAAGTTGGGTAGATAATTGATTTGTAAATTTTTAATAGAAGGTGACTTGAGTGAGGAGCAAAGTAGGAGACCTAACTAAAAGTATTTGGAGTTCGAGGTAAGTTTCACGTCAACCGAAATTAGTTCTTTTTGTTTCGTTATTTCTTTGAATACTTTTGTGTGTATATTTGAGAATTGAATTTATGTGTGCTGAATTTGATTAAATATTATTATGTGAAAGGGTTGTAATTGAGATATTAGTTGATATATTGGTTTGTTAATATAAGTTACTGTATACGATTTTGGGAGATTTTGTAATAGTACGTAATTTGTTATCTTTGTGGGAATTTGATGAAAGGGAAATTTTTGAAGTATAAACTTCGATTGATTTTGAGAAAATAAAGAAAAACTAAACATTTGCATAAGAGGTGAGCCCCACGGGAGAAATCCGTGGTGTCGGTTTTTCACGTCCCTTAAAATGTGAAGGATGGTTAGGTCTACTACTACTCAATTTTTGGTGGTGTTGGTTTGAGGTGAATTGACGGTCGGTAGAAAACATCCCGGCTTTTGAGTAGTAGTGGTAGTAGTAGCTTCTAATCATTCAGTTTTTGAGGTGGGGTAGTTGGTAGAAAACATCCCGACTACCCGGATCAACTTACTAACCCGGAGGGCTTGGAATACCTTTAGGGGGGTGTGCACACTTAAGGTAGTTGTTTCCGTTTCCATTGAGCAGTTGTGGTACCGGCAATAGTCCCGGGGTGGCCGTACATAACAACGGACCACCGGGCTCAACCAAAGTGTTGAGCACCGCCCTTCTAAAGTACTAGGGAGTTAGTTACAAAATGATTTTTGAGAGAAATTCAAAAGAGGAGAAGCTTGGTGTTCATGTATTTTGGGATTATTATGGTATTTGCAAATTGTGTGGTTGGGATTTTGTATAGATATCATTTACTTATGATTTATAAAGTGTTTTGAAAAATATTTTATGAGGTTGTACGAATTTCTATATATTATTTAGGGAAAAGGTGCAAATAGGGCCATGTACTAACCAAAAAAGGTCAAATAAGCCCTTATTTAGGAAGTTTTGTCCGGCCGTCGTCATTTGGGGTGGTTCCCGGTGGAATTTTTTGATGAAATTTTTTAAACATCTTTTTCATCAAGTCTAGTTTACTCATACCAAATTTCAGCTAAAACTTCAATCGGGAAGGTATTCAAATGAATTCTTGAAGATAACTGCGCTTCTAACTGCGCAGTTATTTTCAAGAATTCATTTGAATGCCTTCCCGATTGAAGTTTTAGCTGAAATTTGGTATACATAAACTAGACTTGATGAATAAGATGCTCAAAAAATTTCATCAAAAAATTCCACCGGGAACCACTCCAAATGGCGACATCCGGACAAAGACTCCTAAATAAGGGCTTATTTGACCTTTTTTGTTAGTACATGGGCCTATTTGCACCTTTTCCCTATTATTTATTATTATTTTAAAAGGTTAGGTGGAACTTACTTAGCATTATTGCTAATGTTTGTTTTCTTTTTATTTTCTTTTGCTCGTTTCTAACAGGAGGCGATCATGTTGATTTTGATGCTGGAATGTTTGAGAGCGCGAATTAGAAGACCTTATTGTAGTTCACTAGAATAAACTTTAATATTTGCTTATGATTCGAACATCTTGATTTTTATTTAAACTCATGTTTTGGCAGATAGCCTTAGCATCCAATCATTCACGGATTGGATGTGGCGGTGACATACCCCTTTTCCAATATTTTACTTATTTCCGCTGCAAACATTTGAATGTTTAATTAATAAATAAAAGTTCATTTCTATTTCAAGGTATTATTTTGGGTGGGGAATTTGGGGGGTGTCACAATGGGTCATCCGGAAACAGTTTCTCTGTGCTTTAGTACAGGGGTAAGACTGCGTACATCCGACCCCCCTTACCCCAGTGTAGGTGGGAGCCTTTGCGGCACTGGGGTAATGATGATGATGATTTAACAATCATAATCACAATGAATGATTGTAATATTAAAATATGTTTACTTGCAATCGAAAAGAATATACAATAATCTATTTCACCATTACTAATAATTAATTAATATTTTAACAATAATAATCACAATGAATGACTGTAATATTAAAATATGTTTACTTGCAATCATATTTATTACTCCAATATGTTTAACTAGTACTAACTCCGATCTTCATCTGGTTACAATAGTTTGACTATTACACTATTCATTCTATTTTAACAACACTTTTATTTATAAATGATATGTAATTAACTAATAATATTATGTACAGTATATTTTTTTAAAAAGAAAGCAGCTAATATTACCAAGAAACTAGAGTTTAGGTAAGTAACAGAAAGACAAAGAGTCGCATCTCGATCACTAGCGCTCGAATTAGATTTAAAGTTCATACCTTCACATCAGTAATACAACTCTCTGATCCTATAATGGGTACTACTGAACCAATATTGATTGAAAAAACTCCCACATCGCCCACCCTACCCTTCAAAGTTTCCAACAAAATAGAAAAAGATAACTCAATGACCGAGTCTGAATCAGAAAAGCAAACCAAATAAAATAAAAGCAAATGATAGTAGCCTCCACAGAGCACACCAAAGCTGCAACATGTCAGAGAAGCACACCTCACATACCCTGGCAGGCCTGGTATCCCGACCTGCCTCCCTCCCATTATTTGGATTGTGAGTGCCAACTCCTCACCTGTCAGATCCTCTCCTGCTTGTGCCTCCCAAGTTCTCCTTCTCTTCTAGTCTCCTGCAACTTCCTCTCTATTTGCTGGTCATGATTGAAACCATCACTTCCAGCCTAACTGGTTGTGAGGTTACCCCTGCATAGGATAGGTCTCGTGTTCGAGTCCCACTAGCACCAGTGGAACTATGCTCCCCCAAAAAACCGTTCAAGTGGTAGGGCCAAACGGTGTATACTAACCCGTAGGGCCAAACCAAAGTTGGGTTTCTGGGATAAGGGGCCGTGAAAGCGGTGGAGCTAGTCATCATAAAAAGTTTACCCATACCTTAGTTTCACCGGTGGGCGTAGCTCAACTGGTAGCGAGGGAGTGTCACAAGGGTTAGGTCCTGGGTTCGAATCCCGACAACTGCGATGAGAGGTTACTATGCTAAAAATGCATAGGGCCTCTGCAAGTATCGGGGACGGAGCCCCACTCTCTATCTGTCAGATTGTAATTATAGTCCAATTTACATCCCCATCGTGCCGTCCGGTCGGTGTTGGGGCCCCTCAGGGATGAGGTGTCATCCTTTTTGTTGGTCATGATTGACACATGAGAAATCCACTCATTCGCCTGCCCCAGTAGCATCAAGCCTTGCTCGTCTGCACTAGAATCCCAGCTGTCTCCTGCACTAGAGAACCACGTTGTGCCCCCTGACTCACATGCTTGTCCTGTCTTTTCCTGCACTAACCACTTATTTCCCTTAGTTGGACGAGATCCCCCCCGCCCCACAGCCCTGAGTTCTGGTCCAAAAAGTTTAACCAATCCCTTTGTCCCTTGCTCATAAGCCATAGACAATACCTATCTTCGTGACCAATAAGCCTACAAACGAAACAAAAATAAATCTTTATACTCCGTAGTTTTTCGCAATAGTAAGCTAAATCTAAAACTCAAATACGACCAAATAGGACTAGACTAAATCAAATTGGGACACATGACCTAATTCAACATGATGAGATAAACCGTAAACAAATCAAAGTAGAAATAAATAAATTAGAATGGACCTGTTAAAGTTAGACCAAATCAAAATAATTCAGACAAAATATATATGAGGGTAATATATACTTCGTATATTTCAATTAAAATCTCTTATTGGGGGATACCATGACAAAATATGCCATAAACGTTTAGAACGTTGGCCGTTGAACCCAATCCTTTTTCTGCCCGGGTCCACTTCTTTTTAATGCCATCTTTGAATGAGAATAAGTATATGTGTAATACACGATGACCAGAATGATCTTTATTCAGTGGCGGAACTAGAAAAAAATTTAAGCGGGGGCACAATCGAAGGTATATAAATATATAATCATTTATTGAATTTCTTAAACCCGGATTGCCAATTACTTCATTCTCAAGGAGTCAAGCTCATCATATAATCTAGATCTTTTTTCTCTCCTATCATTATTTGTTATCGCATTTCCATCAATAATAGATTGTCTAATCCTACTCCCACTCCCGCTACCATCCGTGTCTATAGGTGCAGCTCATATAGAAACATTTGAAGAACTAGCACCCGGACTTAATAGTGTTTTTTCCGGGGGGAATATTTCTCAATTGATTCCCTAATAATAAACATTGAAAACAAAAAATAAATAATTCAAACTATTATAAATACTTAAATTAATACAAATAATACATTAACTCAATAACACATAATCATTAGTTTAATTCAAACTATTTTACACTACATATTTTTCAAATCATAATTATGAATTTTAAAAAATCAATAGTGAAATACCAAAATTTTAATTTAATTTAATAGAGAAAAATAGGAAGTCGGAACATGCCAAATCGGGGAACTGGTGGCTGGCGGTCCGTGTGGAGGCGTGACCGACGTCCGGCGTGGCTCACGGCTGGTCTGCTGCTTCGCGGGTTTGAGTGGTTGCTGGGTTTCATGGCTTGGTCCTGACTGGGCTGTAGGCTGCTGGGCATTGGGCCTTCCCTGGCCCAATTCACCCTTCATTTTTTCCCCAAATTGGAGTTAAGAGTACGCCACTTCTTTCTTGACCAGCAGCCGGCGAAAAGTTCCTCATCAATCCAACAGGTCACCGGAAAACTTCAGCAGACAGCTCCGGCAGACCCCCAAGCTCCTACCCATACCCTAGCTCGGCGGCCGAAGCAGGGGCACCGGCCCCCCTGCCCCCCCTGGCAGATCCGCCCCTGTCTTCATTCTAAATAAAACTCTCGATATGATTCAATTTTTACTTGTACTTATTTCAGTCTCAGATTAAATCAGATCAGATTAAACAAAGTCAGATCAAACCAGATCAAACTTTGCCAACTGTGAAATATACGAGGCCAACATTCTCCAAGGTCAGACTAGAAAATTTCAGCTCAATTAAAACACTGAGATGATGATTGGCTAAAATTAATTAGGATGGCCTTAATGCCTCATAACAGTAGTGCAGTACTGTGTGGATTACACTAATGTGATGATTCCTCAAGCATACTAGGCATCAAGCCGCCTTTTTATAGGATCTTTATGATCCGCCTGGCCCGAGACATGGACCCACCTCGTCTTGCAAATGGGGCGGGTCTGCCCCGCCCATACAATGGGACGGGTCAGGGTATTAGTTTTGACCCGCCCCGCACCGACCTGCTCTATATATAAGTACACATACATTTTTTCAAAAAAAATATTGTACAAATATGCTTCTACATACATATGTGTGTACAAAAATCATAAATTCTTTGGTCTTATAATATATTAATATTTATATTTGAATGAGATGAACGATGAATTATCAATGCCTTTTTTATATATAGCATTTTAATTTATATATTCTATTATTAATATAAGAGAATATATGATTTTATACGGAGTATATAATAGAATATAGCATTTTTATACATCACTTTCTTAATTTTTGAAATTTTTAGCATATTTTGACTTCGATTTAGTATATATTATGTTTTAATAATTATTTAGAGATAAATTTTATGTAGATTCAAGTGCTAACAACTTCACATAAATAGAAATACATACTAGCTAATTAGATTACGATGGGGCGGTGCGGGGCGGACCCGACCCACATGGGGCGGGGCATGGGTCAACAAGTTTGGACCCGTGCGGGTCACAGGGCGTGACGGGTCCACACAATGAAGTCACGGGCAGGGGCGGAGCCAAGGGGGGGTCAGGGTGGTCAGCCGACCCCGCTGAACGTTTGAGAGTATAGAGCTCTGAAATATCTCCGATTTGATATATTATGACCCCCGTAACTCATTACGAGTAAAAAATTATGACTTCTGCAAAATCAGCATTATCTAAACGTAAAATTAGCAAAATTTGATGCATACTATAGATTATTTTTCCAAATGTTAAAATTAGAATCCACTCAATACTTGCATGCCATGACTCAGAAATAGAGCAAAGACAATCTATCTTTTTTGCTACGAGTGTCTATTTATCTAAACTACATATGAAATATTCAAATTAGACATGGTTTAAAAACGATCTAACATTTTCATTCTATATATAGGTTGAGTTTCGACCCCCCTGAATCATTTTTCTGGCTCCGCCCCAGGTCACGGGACAGGTCCGGATCTTGCAATACCCGTCCCGTCCTGACCCTTTGCCATGCTCCCATGCCTAGTTGAATTGGGCAAATGTGTGGACTGTGGAGCACCACAGACGAGTGATTCTACATTTGAGTCCGAAAGAAACAGGATATACGTAGTATCGTATTAATCTTGATATAGTTTTATTTTGCAAAGCATGCACAAAGCTTTTGTAATGTTTGCTCTGAAAATCTTTTGTATATTGTTTTTTTATCGTGAGGCACTTATATCATTAAAATAGCAATCAGCAGGAGTACAAGAACGTGAAAGGACCACATGTAACCATCCGCCCATGACCGAGACTGTGACACCGCACCCGAACGTCCTTGAAAATTTGATTTAAATATTCAAAGTTTACGTATTGGATTTCTGATTCCCAAACAATTGTAAAAAGATTAATGTTTTACGTAATTAATGATCGAATATTGCACTGTTCGAACTCGTATATTAGTGTCGGACATACAAATACTATTTGGGACTTATTAATAGATAAAAGAGCCCAACATTTTCTAAATAGTAATACATGACCTTTCAAGACAATTTGAGGAAGGTCGGGCGGCCCAAACATTATTTTGGGCCCAACCTGCTAAAAATAGCAAGTATTCGAGAATGACGTTCTAGACCCACTCGGGAGTGACCCACACGGCTAGTAGCCCAATAATATGTATGACAAATGTCAAATGGGTGATAGAATGATTAAAGAAGAATACAAATGCCTATAACCCCATCTTTGGCATTATTGAGCTAAATAATGGGAGTAGGATTTTCCTTCTATAATATCCATCAAGTAAATTATTGGGACGAGCCTACACATATTGGAGATCAATAATGTGATTTAATAAGTTGACTTGTTCTAAATAAATTAGAATGAGTACAAAGAGACATCTTATGACAAAGAGATCAAAAGTGAGACCCACGTACCCATGTCTAAAAACATCTCATGGAGACCATACCAATTCATTTCACTCCACACAACTTATCCACCCTTATTGAAGGGTCTTGGACACTCCCTTAAGCCCCTCATTCGAACTCCCAAGGATAAGGGAGAAAGAGAGAGCCACACAACCAAGAAAGCTAGAGGAAGGGGAAGCTGCCGCAGGTTCGTTTTCCAGTGCGTAAGGTTACTTATTTGCTTCATATCTCGAGTTATACACATCCAAATAAGGCGTGCGAGATACCCACAGAAAGCTCTCAAGACGAGGAATCCGTGAAGGTCTGGTTTGCATCAATCGGAGTAGTGGAAGGCTTCCAAATCGTCCGAGCAAAACACAACCTCGCGGAATACGTTTTTGTATTCAAAGTAAGTTTGAATCCAAAACCTTCCTCTCTATTGTCTAAACCATATAAATGATTGAAGAACTATTATACACTGATTGAAGTGTATAAAATGTTATTATAAAGTGACTTAAATTGTTGGAAAAGTTAGATACTAATCTAGACAAAACCTTGAAAGGTTAGGGAACGATTTCGTCGGGAAACACCCGTTCTAGGGACTGTTTTTGTGTCTTCGGTTAGGAGTTGAACTAGCACTTTGAAGAGGCTGTTTAACACTCAATTCCAAGCAAGGAATCAGTCCTCAATATTTCTTGGCCGAGGCTTTGGTCATTGGATCGAGAAGGAAAGTTTTAAAGCTCATTTGAGGTGAGGACCGACATCTAGTTGCTTACAACTTGTAGGTTATGCATGAGATTACCTAAATGCTTGAATCATGTTTTTGTGAATAAATATGCTTGAACATGATATGAATGATAAGTAATGGACTTGATCATGAATTGAAACCATATTGATGAATATGGAGTTATGTGAGATAAAAGTATGCTAATATGGTAAATTGACCTTCCAACTCATGTATAAATGTTATGTGTACGTGAATGTATAATTGTATGATGATGCTTAGCACATGGGAGGTTGCCACATATCTATTGATATGGAGGGGCTACCATAAATGATAAATGAGTTGTAGGAATAATCTTAATAGTATTGTGATGCTAGTTAAGGATTGTTCTAAATGTTGATAGAATCAAACTTAAAGGTTGAGTTTGTTTGTGATGAACTTGAATAACATTCAAGTGTCAATTGTGATTTCATAGAGTAAGTGATCTATGGTGTGATTGTATGAAGTAGGAGATCTATGGTGTGATTGTATGAAGTAGGAGATCTATGGTGTGAATACATGAAGTAGGAGATCTATGGGGTGAATACATGAAGTAGGAGATCTATGATATGATTACATGAAGTAGGAGATCTATGATGCGAGTGCATGATGATGTACTCGAGCCGAACTCTAGAAATGAGAAGTTATATTAGGGTTGGACCCTATGTATGTCGTGACTATTAGTCACGGGGTTTGGGAAATGTTTTATAACAAACATGGGCCTTTGAGCCGACTACTTGACTTTATATAAAGTAAGTATATATTTTGAAAGGGGTAATTTGGGATTACGGTCTATACTATATTATCACCCTATTTGAGGGTCTTGTGTGTGAAATACTTGTTGTATATCTATTAGATGCCTGCCACACCAGTACTTTATAGCCGTATAGAGTACTGACCCCTTCGGGGGCGTCCCACCACCATTTCAGGTTGAGGCTAGAGCTTGCATCCTGTGCTCGTTGATCGAGTGATTCCTAGGAGAGAAGACTTGGTTCGTGCTTCCTCCATTCCATTTGAAACATTAATAAATTTGCTCATGGATATTTTACTATAGAGCCTGCGTGCTCATGAAATGCCTTGTGTGGCCTTCTTGTTTTAAACAATGTTTTCCGCTGCGTTATGAATTACTTATTATGTTTGTTTATGGATGTATACGTGTGAATGATATTCAAGACGCCTTGTATAATACGAATGTGTTGGACTGCGGTTGACTATTCGTATTGTACGGCGGATTGTCGACGTGTCCGGGGAGGTCCGGGGCGTGACAGAGAGTCTGAGTTAATCACCTTAAACAAAGCAATATAACTCGCTAGATCGAATTTGGGCAAATTAAAGCTAACGACGCTTACCGCAGACCTTTCAACCTTCAAACCTAATGCAAGAGTTTCCCAGCAGACAAAGAAACAAAACATAAAAGTAAACTCGTGGAAATAAAACCTAAGACAGAAAATAAAATAAACACCAGCACTCGAACTCGTGATCAAAACCATCACCTGCAAACACGGCGGGTCTAGGAGATCTGGCCCGCCTCCTCCCCATTTTTTGACCATCAAGCACCATGTCTTCATCCCCTGTGGTTTCTTTCAGCTTGTCTTTCCATATCCTCCTGCGCTTGGTCTCTCCTTGTTCCCCTCCCATATCATTCGCCCCTTGTTTCGATGCACTGGCACCCGTCTCAGCCGACTGCTCATCCTTTACCTCAGTCTTCCTCTGCTGTCCGGAGCCAACAGGATCTTGTACAAGCCACTTATTATGTCCTCCTGAGCTAGTTTTTACCCCCCTCCTGCCCTAAGCTCAACTCCATAGGATTTTTCAATAATAATTCCCTCCTCATATTTTAGCGGGCAGAACTTGTCTGAATGCCCAATCACCCCACATATGAAACAGAAACTGGGCAATTTTTCACACTTGAAATCAACCCAATGTCCCTTTCCTTCCTTCTTTAGAGAAGTGCCCTTCTTCAGGGGCTTCCTAATAGGGATAAGGCTCAAATTGGACACTATGGTTTCATCAGAATCTCATATTAGACACTAAGGTTTCAAATGGACCAAATTAGACACTATGGTTTCATATATATCTCATAAATCAATCATCATTTACCCCAGTGACGCAAAGGCTCCCACCTACGGTGGGGTAAGGGGGGGTCGGATGTACGCAGTCTTGCCCCTGTACTAAAGCACAGAGAGACTGTTTCCGGATGACCCATAATGAAAATCGTGTCCAAAATTGCATGGACTGACTGCTGCTTCATAACAAAGAAGAGCAGACAATTTGGTGAGCCATTTTGCTTTATTCCATCACATTCTCAAGCCAAAAAATAATGAATCTTTGGCTCCATTGCAAATGATAGAACCTTAATATATATCTCATATTGGACACTAAAGTTTCATAATTCACAGTTTTTGGACACTCACTTATATTGGATAAAGATCAAATTGGACACTCACTTATATTGAATTATGAAACTTTAGTGTCCAATATGAGATACATATGAAATCATAGTGTCTAATTTGGTCCATTTGTAACCTTATTGTCCAATATGAGATTCAGATGAAACCATAATGTCTAATTTGAGCCTTATCCCCTTGATCCTAATATCCATACCAACTCTTATTCTAAAAAAAGATTTCTATTTAACTCCATAACTGTTTTCATCAAACTCTATAAAAGAGCCAATAAAATTCCCAATTCGCCTAGCAGAATTCAAATTTCTAAATTTTTGAGGAACATTATGCACTTGAACCCAAAAGTCTGCCTCAAATAAAACTAATTTTTTAGGAATACTACTTTCAACAACACTAAATCTCTCTCAAACAACCAAGGTCCATCTTCCAGCACGCGGTTCATATCTAAAACATGATTAAAAGTAAATAGATACCTTTTTTCATCTATTTCCTTGATGGATACTCCCTTAATGGGACGCCAAACTGAAGTCAGCACCTCCTGAAGCGCCTGAAAATTAACCTTCTGGTCGGTGATCACCGTCCCAACCACTGGAAAACCGAATTGTTCATCGGTCGTCTCTTCCTCACCTGCTTCCCCAGTATCGAAATCAAGTTCGTTGTTTGTCTCCCCAATCACCATCCTTTTATAATTATTAACAATATCTTCCATCACAAAAGCCACTGGACCAAAGCAAACTTTGATCGTTGTTCCCTAGCCAAAAACAGAGCACGTCGGCCAGAAAATCGAAAACAAACAAAACGCCGAACTTCGATCAATAAGATCGAAATCGGAAGAAAGCCTAGAGGCGGCGTTGCCCTAGGAACTCTCGCGGGGTGTATCTTTTATATATTGTTATAATAATCCGGTTATAAAAAAAATTACATTTGACGCTTTTGGACAAAATTATTTTGGGCTGGTCTGAACTAGTATGGTTTAGCCTAGTCAGAATTGATCGGGTCTGATTAGATTTAATCTGGTATGAGTTGATATTATGTGTGTGTATTTTATTTTCATAAACATAGGTTTTATAATAGCATAATATATATATATATATATATATATATATATATATATATATATATATATATATAGATTAAGGATCACATACAAAATCATCCTAATTTACAAAGTGCAAACTAATCTTGACCATTGATATGGATGAGACCAATGGTGTGGATGAGAAAACTCCCCATAAATAGGGTTGCCGCATGTAGTGGATAAAATTTAAAAAACTCCTCCATCAATACGGCTGATTTGTAGGAATCTAAACAAATCTTAGCCTTGATTTTATAAAATTAGACGGGTGAGATGACTTTGCATTTTGTATGGGAAACACACTTTGTATCTGATCTTAACTATATACATATATATATATATATATATATATATATATATATATATATATATATATATATATATATATATATATCATTCATATTGCAGCTTTAAAATACAATTTTCTTCTTTGAAAATGTTATTTAAAAAACGATGACATAAGTAAAAGTATTTGTAAATAATAATATTAGACTTTTAGTAGTAGTAGAAATGAAGGGTAATAATAAATTACCCTTAATTAAATATGAGATTAATGTTTAAAGATATACTAAACTTTACTTGCTGATTGGAAACTTGTTTTTATTGTTAAATAATACTTAGGAGCTATAATATGATAGGAACTACATTAACAAATTTCATATATAATACACATAATTTTATCTTTCACTATGCTAGATGCCAAAGTAATACGGAGTACATAAATAAGGTATATCTTGTGTGCAAAGGAAGTGAAGCATCATTTTACTGCTCATTTTCTTATACATAAATCCAAAAAATCAAACTATATATATTTCCTATAAATAAAAGAACACATGCATCATAGCAGTCACACCCAGATTCCAAGAATTAGTAGCTAGTTATAGAAAATAAGGTAAGAAGGGAATAAAATGGCTTCTGCACCTGCCTACAACTATGAAGATTTGGATAATAATCTCAAATGTGAACTCCTGAATGAGCCTCAAACTGATACTCTTATCCTTCATTTAAAAAGGCGTAAGTTTTTTATTTTTTTTGAAGGAAACGGCATGAGTTTGTTTGTTCAATATAATACTCCATATTATAATTCCTCCAAATGAATTTAGAGAAAATGATTGGTATACTCAAAATTTTCTCAAAACATGATTGGTATACTTATATTTTTGAAAATTTTGATTTTTGATTTTTGATTCTTTTAATAGGGCTAAATAAGTCATATTTTATGAATAAAACAGATTTAGTCCTTTTAAACTTTTTTTTTTGAGGAAAGTATAGTATGCTTTCTTTGTCAGTTGCATAAATCTATTAGAAGTATTTAAATTATGCTTTTATAATTTTTTTAGGCTAATATGAGAGCTAAAATAATGTAAAACTAAGTATTCATATTTTTAAAATATATATTAAAAACCTTTGAAAAAAATAAAATTAAATACTTTTTAATAACATATTAAAGAATTAGAGGAAATCTATAAGTCAGGATTAGTTTCAGATCAAACGGGTGTTGGTATCATCGGTGATGGACCAAAAAGAAAACTAACATAAATTGCAGGGACTTAAAACAAAAAGTTATTTTTGCAGAGATGTAAAACAAAATGTACTACATTTTCAGGGACTAAAAATATATTCGAACCTTTAAACTTTATAATGTAACTAATAAATGTGTCCCCATTAAGGACTTGCCGCCGGAAAATACTATTCCTAATATGAGTGACAACTTTTTGTGGTGACTTTGTACAAAAGTGGGTATATTGACTATATTCATGCGGAGAAGTTCTCAAAGTGGACAAAACATATGAGAATAAATAAGGGAAATTCATAGGAATATAAACGTTTCAAATTTCAAAATATGAATACTATGATCAACCAAAAATAAAATAGGAGTACTATGTTTTTATGCACTAATTTGAGTAATTATGATTACCAAATTCGGAATACATTGTCATGTTTAAATTCATAGAAGATTTGAGAGGGATTTGCCAAAATTCATAGAGTATTTGGCAGTGATATACCAATTTCATGCCAAAAACACTTTGGCACAAGATATTTGACAAGAAATCATATGTCAATCCATATCAAATCCGTACCAATTTCATAGTTTTTTTGTACTGAAAGTCCGATAATATCAAAACAAATTTCTAACTATTCATAAACATTTGTACTCTTACTTAAGACAAATTCTTAAATAAATACAGTTACATAACTAATAACAAACACTGACAAGATTTAAGACTAAATCAACAAATGTTTGCTTTTAAAATCTGAAATTAAAAAGAGGATCTATAGATTAAACATGTTTATAAAATTTGAGCTTATTACATATATGCATGTTTATGTACAGGCTTTCAGACAAAGAATATTGTATTAACAACCCATGAAGGAGGATACATGGTGATCAGCGGACATGCCCAGGGCGAGGGCAACAAGTGGATCCGGTTTAGGAAAATATTCACGCTCCCTTCCAATTCTAATTACGACTTATCAGATTTGGAAAAAATTATTGGGATATTAGATTATACTGAAACCATTCTTAATATAATGCTAACCAAACTTCCCAAAAATAATGTGAATGAGACATTACAAAATGGTCAAGTCAAATTATGGCCGCCGAAAAACCATCTAATTCGTGTCATGGTCGGGCTGTTCACTCATTTCCCCTCCATTAATTCATTACCACTCTTAGGTAATTGTTACCTTGATATTGATCCAAAGTGTGAATGGAAGGATGATGGTACTCTTCAACTTCATTTACCAGGTAGTATTACTTCAGCTGTTTACCTTTTGAAGAGAATATTATTATTTTATCTTCTCCACAATTTTCACTTTATTAATTTTCGCACAACCAAAATTTGGGTTTATTTAATCAAGGTCGAATAGTCGAATGAAATGTGAAATATTTAAATTTTGATTCTATTGTGCATTTATGTTTACTATAGTTCCTCTAATGTCTAATGCGGATGATCGAGTACATGGTGCATTTACTAATTAACTTTAAGAAAAGACAAAAATTGTTATCTTCCCCAATTTATAAAAATTGTATATGTAATATAGCATCATTTCTTTATTGCCAAAAAAATAAAATTTATTTATGACATTATAAAGCAGATAAGGACTCAGACTCAAAATTTAGCATGTGACAAAAATATTGGACTGTATTTTTTTCATGGAAAATGAGGCAACCAAACGATCGACCCCTACTTATTTATCAACATTGAATATGGGCTACGATCAATATCCTCTTCAATACTTCCAAAAAAGTTATTTCCCTTGATATTTTTGTACTGTGAAATTTTTTATTAGCACATTTATAAATTTATGCATCCTAACATGTGACAACATTAACACATTGTTTTTGTTAGCGTAAATGAGGGAGGGTGATGGAACATATACACCATACATTATATACTATGGAATAAAATATCACCTCAGCTCTTTTAAAACATTTAAACAAATATTAAAAAGTTAAACCAAATACACCCTTCCATCAAATTATATTTCAAAGAAGGGTTACATGCTGAGTTATACATTTATTAGAGAACATAGATAATTCTCAACTATAAGGACAAGTATAGTATACTCCTTCTGTCCTATTAGGTATTGGAGATTTCAAGATTTGTGTGAAAAATGATGTGATTGTGCAAATGAAAGAGAGAACTAAGCAGCCACACATATAAATTAATTAACTTAAGGAGAAAATGACAAAGTATTTCGAACGAAGGAAAATTGCTTTAACTTTTAGACTCTTTTTCTTTAATCATTCGAAAACAAACTCGCAACTTAAAGAGTATAATACTTCTTTAGTATCTTTTTTCGGTGTATAGTTTGAGAGTATATTTGTATGGGAAAGCAACTCTAAACTAATAGTAGTACGAAATACCCAATACTCCTTTTGTCCCAAAATGATTAGCAAAGTCTAACTTTTTTTTTGTCAGCTTTGATAACTTTGTGTGCTTATTTAGCATATCATTTTTATTATATTGTAATTTTAATTTTGCGACATAATTGAACTTTCAATGTAGGATCCGAATATGTAAATTTTAATTATTAAAACTGATTTAACTATCAACAGAGATGATTTAACTTAATTTTCAATCAACTTTAAAATTCTGCAAATTACAATTCAATTTGGGATGGATGAAGTATTTATATCTACATTAGCTAGATAATGAAAGAATAAGCACTTTTCATGCAGGTTTCACAAATGAGCAGTTAAGCATTTATATAACAGAATGTAGGCAGTTTATGTGGATTAGCGGACACAAGCCGTGTGAAAAGGGTCGCCATGATTGGACCCGCTTTTCTAAGCAATTCCATATTATACCTACCGACAATGACAACGACGATGACAATTGGCCCGATGTAGATTACAAACCCGGCTATGTGCACGTAAAGAAACCAAAACTCTCCATCTAGCTATGGCACCGCCGGGGATGATGAGAAAAGAGAGAATGAGGATACGGTTGATTAAAATAATAATGGTGGCTGGCTGTGACAATAACGAAACTTATGATGAGCTATAGATATGAACTGAAGATGAATGATGAATGTCCTGGGGGAGGGTCTCTTATTAGTTCTCTTCAGTTTCTATTTCACGGTGTATTCCATACCCTACTTAAATATGTTTATATCTTAATGGTACAATCTCATATATGCTTCATGTGCTCAAAATTGTATAAGTATACACATTATGGAATACTCTTTTACGATTAATAGCATAATGTCAAGACTCGGGGTTCCATCGTAAAAGGTCAACCTGATAGGAGGAGTAGCCCGTGTGTTAATATAGCACTTTGTTCATCCAAATGTTTCCGGTGTGGGACATTTTACACCCCTCCTCACGACCAGACACTTCGTCTGGATCGTGTAATCATTATATTTTTTTTTTCATCGGTCCATTTTTTTTCATCCGACCGTTTTTTATAATCGTGTCATCATTTTTCATAAGGGGCCCCACACCATGGACCGATTTGGCTCTGATACCATGTTAAGACCCGGGGTTCCATCCTAAAAGGTCAACCTGATAGGAGGAGGAGCCCATGTGTTAATATAGCACTTTGTTCATCCAAACGTTTCCGGTGTAGGACATTTAACACCCCTCCTCATGACCAGACACTTCGTCTGGATCGTGCCATTATTCATTTTTTTTTGCATCGGTCCGTTTTTTTCATCCGGCCGTTTTTTATATCGTGTCATCATTTTTGATAAGGGGCCCCACACCATGGATCGATTTGGCTCTTATACCATGTCAAGACTCGGGGTTCCATCCTAAAAGGTCAACCTGATAGGAGGAGTAGCCCGTGTGTTAATATAGCACTTTGTTCATCCAAATCTGAATGGAACCCCGAGTCTAGACATGGTATCAGAGCCAATTCCGATTGTGATTTGACGGCTTGTTTAGCACCCATGATTAAGAGTAGCTTGTTAAGGGTTTGTTTGGCCCGTTTATACACCTCGATATTGTCCAGCCCGATTCAGGCTGAGGGGGCGTGCTAAAGCATTTGTCCCACACCGGAAAGCTATAAAACAATTAAACACTATATAAGGCTTTGGGCTAATCCTCCTATCAGGTTGACCTTTTAAGATGGAATCCCGGGTCTTAATACATAATTCTCGATCTAATAAAATACATACATCCCCAATTATATAAAACCCGTTATATATAATGATGATGAACATCAAAACTATTATATTAGTAGCTGAATGAATATATATACTTTGAAATGGATAACATCAATGGATGAGAAGATAAAATAGATGGGAAGAAGATTTGAAATGTTGCCGAAAAATGATGACACACCATCTATGAGGGTCCCCTAGAAGTGACTGGACAATTATTTAGCAGGATGTAAATTGAGTTTTGATCACACACTGATGAAAATAGAGTGAGGTTTCATTCTAAGTTATTGCTTGGAATTAAACCTGAAATCTCTCCCTTATGACTTTCTCTTCCTAGTTCCTATCAGGTGGGCTACGCTCCCGAAGAAGCACGTCAAAACCTAAATGGAAAGAAACTCAAAGAAACCACATAGGAGAAAAGAGAAATGAAAAGAATGACAAATAAGTTAGTGAAGGAAGTATAGGTATCACACAAATGAGGATGAGAGAAGATGGTCAAGATAATATAGTGAGAAAACAAAAGCATTTCAAGATGAGAACTCTGAGAAGTAAAGAGAAGAGGATTGGATGATAAAAAAGAAAGAAAGTAACATGATGAAAATGCATGTCATAAATTCCCACTTATGATTGAGTGGGATGGACTAATTACAAAAGTGATTGGTGAAGTTGCTTCATATGACTGAGTATTTTGAGAATGACATAGTAATTCATCTATAGTCTTTCTGACCACCAATTTTTAGGAATAACTAATTGAATAATAAATTTAATCTAATTGAGTATGTTTGACTCACCAATAATTTGACCGATCAATTTTTGACCACCTTTACTTGAGTATGTTTGAGAGTTAGATTTTGGAGGGAAGGTGAAGGATAAGGAGGCTTTATGACCACCAATTTTTAATTAAGTTCTCACGAATTGAAGAGTTTTGAAGAATAACTAATTAAATAATAAATTTAATCAAATTTAAAATGAATAGAGGTTCGACTATTTGAATTCGTCATATCTGTGAATCGATTTTAATTATAATTCATCTATAGTCTTTCCTTTTCCAAATTTGTAACCTCTAAATCTTAACATAATACGAGATCCAAATTCATCCAAAGCCATGGTGTGCCAAAATTCATCCAAAGCCGTGTGAGGCTGCTCGTATGAAATGGGAAAGAGGTTATGACGATTATGGGGTGTTTGGAACTCATTCTGCTTTTGCATCTTTTTTTAAAGCAGAATCAGAATCAGAATCAGTTTTCAGAAGCTGGTCTTCCCCGGCTTCTAAAAAAACTGATTCTAGGTGTAAATTATAGTACCAAAATCACTTCTGCACTTTCACCCAAACCCTCCAACTTCAGCTTCTGCTCCTTCAAAGAGCTAAAGGAGTTTTAAGAATCAGATCCAAACACCCATATGCAGAACCAATGAAAATAACAAATGAATTAGGGCACGACGCATACGATGTGTTTGCTCCTGAAGATAGATGTTGAAGAAGTATTTCACACACTCAAAAAATATGAACTAATAAACTAATACCCCGTATATAAAATATCAGGCTCCTCAAATTGACCTCAATCTCGGGAGTACTCCTAAAATCGATTTTTCAAATCAAACTCCGAGTCTTGGTAGTATTTTTTTAAGCAAAGATAGCACAATTAATGAATTCTTATCACCAATATTGTGTGCTCTGCACATGCTGCTACTCTCCCAGAGTCCTAGGTAGGCATGGACCCGGTTCGGGCCGCCCGGCCCGGGACCGGCCCGGTTCTCGGGTCTGGGTCCGGGTCGGGCCTAGGCCCGGTGGGGGGGCGGGTCCGGGCTCGGGCCTTGTATTTGGCGAACCGGCCCGGGCCGAATTGATTTTTTTTTTAATTTTTTTTTTCATTTTTTGGGGTTAGCCGGGTTGGGCTTGATGGTTAGGAGGGGTTTGGGGGGGGGGGGGGTGGGGGGGGGGGTGAGTGGGTTAGGAAAGCAAAAAAAAAAAATTATGACCGAACCGGATGCCTGGCCCGGCCCGGCCCGGACCGGACCCGGTGGCTACCCGGGCCGGTCCCGGGCCTTCCTTCCCAAAAAAAAAGCCCGGCCGGGCCGGGCCCGGAACCGGAACCGAAACCGGCCCGGCCCGGGTCCATGACTAGTCCTAGGTAGCTACAATCAAAATTAAAGCAAAGCAAGGGACTAAAAACAATATCCTTACGGGCCGGTGCTCAAACCACAATAATAAATAGGGATACGGATGCGATCCGTCTTGGTCTGAATCGGATTTTTGCTAAATCAGGAAATTACCCGTAAAGTCACATGTTATGAAAATTAGGGACCAAAAGTCAAAATAAAGCCCATTACATTCAGTCCGAGTCAGTTTTTTTTGTAGCCCGGGTTCGGTTTGGGTTGGGCCAGTTAAAGCCCGAACGTGAATTCATCTAATTGTGTTTTTATATTTTAAAACCTATTTTCAAATAAAATAATAAAAAATAAAACCGCAAATAACAACATAAATATTAGTCTTCAAAATCACCAATAATTCTAATCCAAAGAAGGTAATTATCTTAATTAAGCGCCGTAGAAACTTGTTTTCCTACTAGTGTAATATTTATTTTAAGATGCATATAAATAAATAATATAGGTTTTCTAAAAATATTACTAAACAAAACTTATGAATAAAAGTGTGACCAAAGTTACTATAAATATATTTTCATGGTCATTACGGTATACAAAATTGAACATATTTGTAGTCACTAAAAGTTACTAAGTCATTTTTTCATCCACCATGATTATAATAATAGATAGGAATTATTTATAAATTAGATTCATATATTATATTGATTTTATATTGAAGTTAATTGTTTCGGGTATTTAACAGTCCGGGCCGGGCCGGTTATAGTTTTTTTTGAGTCCGTTTATGAGTTTGAATTTTCGGGTTCAGCCTGTGTTTTTTTATTCGAGCCGGTTAAAAAGAAAAAACCCGGATCGGGAACATCATTTGGGCCGGGCTTGCAGGGTCGTTTTCCGAGTTTCGATTCGGTTTTTCCCACCCGGCCCTAGTAATAAATGCTCTCCATAAAGTAGTGAATCGAGGTATGCTACAAGCTGAAGTGGACCTGTTTTCCCTTGGATACTTGCACACTTACACATAACATGGTCTTTTTTTTTTTTTTTGAATAACACATAACATGGTCTTTGATGAGCGAATATGGAGAACACATTATCGAAATAATGTAAAAAATAAGAGTTGCGCCTTTTGATTGGACAAAAACAAGACCATTTTTTGAAGGGCAAAAAAGACCACACCACATACGAAGGACCCCATCTTCATTTCTACGAGCTTGAGCGACAGAAGGACTCAATAATCTCCATTTAACAAAGTGAAACTTGTTAGAAGATTTATTTAAAACAATGTGATGCAGTGTATAGTCGTGCCCCTCGACCCATATACTCGACCATTAGCTTCCACACAGCTGAGAGCCACACGTACCAATATGCGGAAATAAAACCGACCCGAAAGAATCTGATCCACAAAGACGATGTGAGAAGATGATCAGGATAATATAGTGAGAAAACACAAGCATTTGAAGATGATAACTCTGAGAAGCAAACAGAAGAGGGTGGAATAAATGGAGAGGATAAAAAGAAAGAAAATAACATGATGAAAATGGATGTCATTGAATCCCATTTATGATTGAGTGTGATATAATGGACAAATTGCAATGTAGATCTCGCTTAGAGTATGCTTTTGAGTATGTTAAAAGTTACGATCTTTTCTCAGATGCTACTCATGGTAGCATCTCAAAAAAGATCTTTTATTTAAAAAAAAAACTCTTAAAAGTTGTAATAATGTCAAACATTCAACTAAAAGCTTTAAAAACTTTAAATAGTACTCCCTCCGTCCCAGAATTAACTTCGGTTTTGACTGGGCACGGAGATTAAGAAAGTGGGAAATGTGTGGTTGAGAGTTGTGCAGAGGAGAGAGAAATGTGTAAGAATGGTTGTGAACCACAAATCCTTTGCTAAAAAAGGAAAGAGGAGATAAATTTGGGACGGACCAAAAAGGAAAGAATGAAGATAATTATGGGACGGAGGGAGTACAAAAGTTAGAAGTTATGAACTTATGCCTATCAAATATGCATCTCTTTTATTTTTAAAAAAGCTTTTAAAAATTGTCATGATAAATATTCAACTAGAAGCTTTTAAAGACTTATTAAATAGTACAAAAGCTAGAAGGTAAGAGACTTATGCCTACCAAACATGCACTAAATCAAAGTCATTTTTTGAGATGCCACAGTTAGTAGCATCAGAAAAAAGTCTCTAGCTTTTAGCATTAATTAGTCCAACAATTTGTAATTTGTATGTCAAAGAGAACTAAATTAAACTGTTAACTTTTTATCAAACAACTACTATCTTTTTCTTTTAACATCTTTTCAGTCCTTAAAATTAAAGCTAACAATTACTAAAAAGAAACTTATAAAAATATATTTTTAGTGCCAAACATACCCTAAAATTTGAATGTTATTGTCTTTGTATTACGAGTATGATAAATCATGGAGTAAATTTTAAAGGTAGATTCTATGGTACCCATAAGGTACCATACTTTTATCCACATGGACCAATGAGAATGTAGTAGTTGAATTATTTAAATCTAAATTAAAAATGATAAAGTGATGTGGTCCAATCAAATGAATGGGAGGTACGGTACCCTGTTTTTTTAAAAGGTACCGGAGTTGACGCGTCAATATGCTCCATACTTAGTAAGTTGACGTGTACCATTTTAATTTTTGATAAATAATGACCTTGACTCTTCTTAATTAGTTCTTATCACTTGCAACAAACCGTGTTATTTTTCTGTTAACTATGTGACATGGTGGATTGGTTGCTAATCAGAACCATATATACCCGATAATATACTTTGATTAGTACGTAATGACGCTTCAAACATTAGGTCTTGATTCTGATCTTGACGAACTAAAATTTCTTTCATGTAGACAAGTTCAACTAAACACGTTTACGTTTTATCCAAATTAAGTATATATGTAATATGTTACAGTAGAGAAAAGAATGAAAAAGAAATATTGTTCAACGTCTTTGAATGGAATTAAAAACAAAGTTGGGTACGTATTCCAATTACTCTTGCCATTTCCGAAAATGGAATATTCTATATATGTTTCTTTTCTTTTTTTTGTACTGTAATATTCTGTTTCTTTAATAGGCAAAGAATATTTTTTTTAAAAAAAATTGAGTTAATTCGAAGTATCCGTACAATCAATCTATAATCTAATTTAAATTTAAACTAAATACTCCCCCGTATTATAAAGTTTACTACACTTTCCTTTTTGGACGTATTTATAAGTTTGCTACGTTTTTCTTTTTTGGTAAGTTTTTTCATTAAAAATACTTAATTACTTTTAATTTTTCTACTTTTTATCTTTCATATCCTACTTTTACTACACTATTCATTACACATAATATTTCACCCTTAAATGATATGTCCAAACCTATTGTAGAGAACTTTCAAATACAAGAGTATACTAAAAGTCCAGAATAATAAAATAAAAATATAATAATTCAAGTTAGATAGAATGTCTTGAAAGAAAGCTAGATGCCATTAATTATATACTCCCTATACTGTGTACATTTCAAGCAGTTGCAACTTGCAATTGCTATTATATTTCAAGAAATGCCACTGCTATTCATTAATTTTTACATAAAATTCAAATAAACAAAGTGTATAGTTTCCTTAAGATCAAATCATACCACTCACAGAAAAAAATCAAATAATACAACGAGACAGGATTTAGCAGAAATTAAAGCAATGGATGATGCAAGTCCAAGTTCTCCATCTTACATTTATGAAGATTTTGATCCAAAATGCAGAATCCACAACAAGGCAACACATGACGCTCTCACCTTTTATTTACCACCCGGTATGTTTGATTAGTTTCTTAATTCTAGCTTTTTAATTAAATAAGAGTTTCCAGCATTCATAATGTGATTTTAGATCTAAAACAATGATGCATTTTATGTTATCGATATTTTGACATCAATATATACTTCGTATAATATACTCGTACAAATTACTTTGCTAAAAAATATCTAACACATTAATTAAAAAATAGCTATCTATCTGGATATGATATCCGAGTATTTCAATGTCACGATGATTAATTAAAATGCTCGTAAATTTGTGAAGATACCTAAACTATATATACAAAACTGCTAAATAATACTTTTATTTTATTACCACTGGATGTAGTCACTATTCTTCCAGAATATTAGGCGTGACTGCATGAGCAATTCTAAAGGAATAGTTCACCTGCTATTCCTTTACGCCTGCTGCAGGCCTGCTATATAACCACTTTTCTGACAAGATATAACCATTTTTATTCAGCTTCAATCAATGATATTTTTTTACCTTTAATGATATTTTCTTTTAGACAATCGGTTGAACTAAATTGACTTTTTGACTTTTAACTAATTTTTCTTGGTAGATAATCAACTTTGACTAATAATATTTTTTTATGCGAGACTATTTTGAATATGAAAGTTATATATATTAAAATGTCCCTTATTAAAAATATTTTACATAAAAGTATAAAATTTATAAATTATATACAAGTATAATAATTAAAATTATTGTTCAGAAATTGTCATTGAGAAGGACAAGTAAATATGACAAACATTTTTGTGACGGAGGTAGTATGTGATCTATGACTAGTTATATATATGCGACAAGCTAGGTTTCTCACTGGACCATATCGCTCTTCTATCAATCGGGATTCCGACACAAAGCTGGATACAGATCTTCGGGCACAGGCCGTGTGAAGATGAAGGCTGCCCCCAGAAGTGGATCCGATTTTTCAAGGAATTCAATCTTTCAAGCAACTGCGACTTGAGGGGCGTCCGTATGAGAATGAAACTAGATGATGACAACGATAATCATAATCTGTACATAACCCAACACAAACCGCCATCCATGTTTAATATTCCGGCCGTCCGGGAAGAACAAATGTCAATTTCTCTCCATGAAGACATCTATAAAGATGTTGATGATGTGGTCTGGGAGCTGAAGATGGGATCGCCTGAATTTGATACTCTCCTCCTCTATTTACCGTCCCCAGGTACGCCATCTCTTATTTCCCCTTGGTCACTAATAAGGAAAAAACTAGTTGTACACGAATTATGTACACGTTTTATGCACACACCCTCTAGTTGCTTGTGTTTACAAACAACTCGTTCAAAAGCTGCCGATTTACGCAGGCAACTAGGAGTGCGTACACGAAATGTGTACAAATTTAATGTAGAAGTAGCACATTTGCACTAATAATGTCTGATATCTTTATATTGTAGTCTTACATCATCCATCACATTGCCTCAGTTTTTGTAGTCACTAATAATGTTCATTGTCCCCTTTGTTGGAATTTCAGTTATATAAAGCAAATTCAATTCTCAAAACTCATTTTATTGTACGATGTTTTTATTTGGACTATTTTTAGTCCCAGACCAAATCAGACCAGACCAGATCAGATCATACCAGATCTGGACAATTATAAACTACACATGAACCCAGGGGCGGATCCAGGAATGAAGAGTGGGATGGGCTAAGCAGAAAAAAATGTTATTGCAAGTAAAAAGTTCAGCTTATTTGGGCGGTTATGAAATCGAGCGTTTTTCAAACTACTCGACTTCGAGCGTGATTTAGAATTTAATTCAATGACCCAAGCTGAACGAGATATTTTGAACTCGATCACGGGCTAGATATTGAGTTCGAGCATAGTGATATTCGGTTCGATTCAGACTCGAGCCTGTCGATAACTCATAAATTATAGAGATAATTTTTATTAATCTTAAAATTTAAATATTTTTAGTGCAATTTTATAGATCTATTTAAACACTAAAACAAGAAAATTAATACATCTATTTTATTCAAGTCTAGTTCGAGCATAAACGAATAAACAAGGGATTCAACAAATTATTTAAAAATATAGACAACGGACGTAGGGAACACAACGGCAGGTGACGTTGCGACTGGGCCCCGTGTTCATGATTTCGTGTCTTCATCTCTTTACTGAGTTGAGTCCTTCCGACTTCGTGCTTCTTAGTCGCTTTATAACAAAAGTATATATCTAGAGCACTAAAAATCACAGATAGTAGTTCTAACTATGCTTGTTGCAAAAATTAGAACTAAATAATGAACTGGAAATAAAAATAAATAGTAATAACAACAACAACAACAACAACAGTAATAGTATATGACCAAATAAGGATACTGGATAAAAACGACGTAGTTATTTTAATGATTATAATTATGTTTAAATTTTACAATTAGAATGCTTATAAAAGTTACTCAATGGCTTGAGTAAAAAATATTCATATTTAATGTTAGTAATATATTGGAACAAAACTCATGATAATAATAGAAGTAATAATAATAGCAGTGTTAATGTTATATTAATAATATAATAATATAATATTAATCATAAAATCATGTTGTAAAATAATGTTGTAAACTAGTAATATAAAATACAATTGATTGTGGGTGAGTGGGTGAGTGGGTGAGATGGAATTGCATAATAGGCTCCCAATGTAATCCTCCTTATACTCCTCCGTATGTAAAGTTTTCATCTTCTCAAATTTTTCCCACACCGACTCCAAGGATGGTTAATCCTCCTAATTGCCCTATATTCGTTGAGTTGAGTTGCTACAAGACCATAGCTCCGCTATTACGCAACTGGATCATTTGTTCCCATGGTTACGCACCTCGGTGGCGCTTTTAGAGCTTATATTAAGTTTGGGCTGGGCTGAACATCAATTTTGGGATGGGCTAAAAATAAAGTCCCTTTCTATACTAATAAAAATAAGTTGGGCTGGGCTGAAGCCCACCTCTGCCCCTACATGGATCCGCCCATGCATGAACCAGACTTTACCAGATCAGACCAGACCAAAAAAATCCAGTCCAAGAAAAACATCCTTAAACCTAAGGCACTTTTGAACGATATTCCTAACAGAAATTGCCCTAAATAGGAGTTAAAACGTTTTGAAATTCCAAAATAGGAGCAACATGTTTTTTATTCCCTGAATAAGAGTAATCTGCCAAGTTTGAGAAAAATGACATGTTTAAAAGTCTTGTAATGCCAAACTTGGCAGAAATTTACTCTTATTCAGGGAATAAAAAACATGATACTCCTATTTTGGAATTTCAAAACGTTTTTACTCCTATTTAGGGAATTCTCTCTATTTCTAAATAGAAATATTTAGGAATATCTAATTATTATTTAAAAGCTTCTGATTGTAATATTTAAAAGCTTCTGATTGTACGTTTGATTTAACAATTGTAAATCCGTAATCTCGGGTCGGTGTTGGGACCCCAGGAATGTGGTGTCATTTTTTTTTTTTTTTTTTTTGTAAATCTGTAATCCATTTTATTTCAGGTTTCACTAAAAACCAAGTAAGCGTTCGATTAACGGAATCTCAACGGCTCCTCGAGATCAGTGGACATACATATGACTTAACGGCATATTCCGGCGGACAACTCCGTGTTCCGCCTGGATTTAAATTGGTGACTCGGTTTTCTAAGAACATCTCCGTTTCATGTAACTACGATTCGGACCGGATCGAGAAGAAAATTCAATACGGTATCCTGTACATAACACTTCCCAAAGTCATTACGAAGAGAGAAAATCCGATTTCTACATCCCAACTGATTAAAAAGTTACAGAACATGATGAATGGGGCTCTGACCATCTGGTTAAATTGTTGTACTTGGTCAAAGTAACTATTACTCCGTATTACATTTCTCCTTCTATTGGCTTTGCCAATTTTCAATTAGGTGGGAAAAGTTACTACTCCCTCCGTCCCTTAAAACTTTGCCAACTTTCCTTTTTGGATGTCCCACTAACTTTGCCACTTTCTCTTTTAAGTAAAAAATTTGTGGTTCATGTTAATTCTCTCTCCTCTGCACAAACCTCTACCACACAATTTTTACTTTATTAATCCTCGTGCCGGTCAAACTTGGCAAAGTTTTAAGGAACGGAGGTAGTATTATCCTCCGTTTTTTCTATAGTAAGAATTTTACACTATTCATATGTTCTTCTTTGACTACATTTTAAACTACTTCCTCCGTTCTTAAATAAATGCAACGGTCAACATTTCACACTTGCCGAGACACAACTTTGACCGTTAATATATATAATTTTGTATTAGTAAAAAAATTAAAAAAAAATAGATTTTGAAAATTTACAATGAGACAAATTTAACAATATTTATTTCACAAAAAATATTAATACATTAATAAATAAAACGTAGTCAAAGTAGAACATGTGAATAGTGTAAACTTTCATATGTTGCATTTATTTAAGAACGGAGGTAGTATTATTCTATGAAAATAATATTTTTTTTTTAAAATATTTTTCAATTCATCTCATGACAAATTTTCAAAATTTGATTTTTGAATTTTTATACTAATACAGAATAAGATATATTTACCGTCAAAGATATGCGTTGACAAATGTGAAATGTTTACTCTTGCAACTAAAAAAGAACGAAGGAAGTATATGATTGAAGTTTGATCATATATACATACAACACGACATAGAAATGAGTAGGAGTAGACGCGATCCAGAACGGTCCGGTAAATTAGCGAAATCTGTAATGTACTAGTGAGATTTTAAACGGTTCGGTACGGTCCGGTTCTAGGGATGGAACCATTTGACGCCATGTAATTTCGGAATGGTACAAAACAGTTTGATTCAATGCCAACACATGCTAAAACATTTGGGCAAATCTTGCAATTAGTAGATATAATTAGGCATGTCAATGATCTAAAACTGGCACTGTATTTGAGCGTGTGAGTCTAAATTTAGAACCATTTCCCGAATCCATATCCGAACCCATTACATGAGAGAGAGAAGTGAGTTGGATCTGGACTTTTAAGTTCCGGCTCATTTTAAACTCGATCTGTGATGATATAATTATAGTTATAATTTTACACACACATACACACTATATGCATAGAAATATTTAAACATAAAATAAGGAAAACAATCAAACATAAAAAGTGATTTAATGTTTGTAGGCTTAGTTAGTGGTTGACCCAGTATATATAATGGGGTTTTCCCTAATGAGTTTAGGGCTTCAGGTCCTCTTGATATATATTAACCCCTTTCTTGTTTCACAATTTTGTTTTTATCAAGTTTGAGATGTATAGATTAATGGAGAGAACAACATTTTGTTCATTTATATATGATGTTTACCAATATGATTTTTTTTTGCTATTTACAATATTTGTTTGCATGTGTCAAGTTTTTTTTTTTGCGGGTAGACTCGGCCCTGATATAACTCTTCATATTTGTATTGTGATTTGAAAAACTTACAACGTTACCAAATTCAAAAGGAATAAATGAAAATTAATTCAATGTCCTGAAATAGATGAAACTACAAAAATAAACTATCGTACATATATACTCCGTATATATTACATGAAATAATAAGATGGAATAATGGCTCACCCTATTAGGGTGTCCTGGTGGTTTATATATAATAATAGATAAATAGGAAAATTACAAACATGTCCCAATACCATAGACTATTACACCCCCTTAATCTGTGCAGGGGAAACAACACGCAGATGGGAATGTAAAAAACTCAAAATGCTGACTAGATAATTTCTTAGTAAAAATATCAGCTAATTGTAATTGAGCCAAAACATATTTGACCACCAGATCTCCATGAGCAACTCTTTCTCTGACAAAGTGGTAATCAATCTTTATGTGCTTACTACAATCATGCTGAATGAGATTCATAGCTAGATAGGAAGCAGACACATTATCACAGTGGAGCTGAACCGGTGTAGAGAGTCGAATACCCATCTCGGACAGAAGTGAGTGAATAAAGAGAGTGTCCTGAACGGTGTAGGCTATGGCACGATACTCAGCTTCAGTGAAAGATTTTGAAACAGTGGGCTGCTTCTTGGACCGCCATGATATAAGATTAGGCCCCAGAAAAATAGCATAACTTGTGGTGGAACGACTGCTGTCTGGACAACCTGCCCAATCAACATCTGAGTAGGCCACAAGAAGAGAGATGTCACGATTAGCTTGTAGCCACAAACCCTGATCTGTACTACCATGCAAATATCCGTAAATGCGCTTCACAACCAAAAGGTGAGTAGTATGTGGTGCATGCATGAATTGAGAAACCAAATGTACAACATAAGTAATATCATGTCTAGTTAAAATCAAATATTGTAATGCACCTACCATACTGCGATACTCAGTAACATCAGTAAGAAGTTCACCATCTGTGAGAGAAAGAGTAGTGCGCGACAGTAGTGGTGTACGGACGAGCTTAACCGTTTGGATATGGAAGCGACATAATAAATCAGAAATATATTTCTGCTGAGATATGAAAAGACCCAGGGGTGTACGCCGGGTTCGAAGGCCCAGGGAAAAATCAATATCGCTCAGGTCTTTCATGGAAAACTGAATGGACAGAGACTAAATGATAAAGTGGACAAGAGGTAGTGATGAGCCAGTGACTAAAATATCATCCACATAAAGAAGAATGTAAACGACCTGAGAGTTCTGAGGAAAAACAAACATGGAAGAGTAAGACTTACTCTGTGAAAAATCATGAGATAGGAGAAAACCACTGAGCCTGTGAAACCAAGCTCTTGGAGCCTGTTTAAGACCATATAATGCCTTTTTGAGGCGACACACATGATGAGGAAAAGTGGGATGGACAAAACAAGGAGGCTGACGCATATACACTTCTTCTGTGAGATGACCATGGAGAAAAACATTTTTAACGTCTAATTGATGAATACACCAACCAAGAGACACAACAATAGACAAAAGAAGACGCACAGTGGTAGGTTTAACCACATGACTAAATGTTTCAGTAAAGTCGACACCAACATGTTGCTTAAACCCTTGAGCAACTAAACGTGCTTTGTGGCGCTCAACAGTCCCATCTGAATTATATTTAGTCTTATAAACCCACTTACAACCAACCACATTTTTCAAGCCATCCCAAGGTACCAAATCCCAACTTTGATTAGAAAGTAGCGCATTAAATTCATCCGCCATGGCAGCCTGTCAAATAAAATGTTTTTCATCCGGGGGTGAAAAAGCACTTAAATTAAAAATTGCTTTGGGCTTAAAAATATCATCCTTGGCTCTAGTTTGCATCGGGTGTTGGTTAACTAAAGGCTGCAATTTGAGAGTGGGAGAAGAACTGGTCGTTGGGTTGGTGGAAGACCGGGACTCAGGAGTCGGAACTGGACTAGGAGATGAGCTAGTGGGCTGGTGGCGGGGCTGGTTGCTAGACCAGAGAAGGAGATATGAAGTGGGTTGGGCGTACATGGACTGATCGATGGGCTGTGTGGGGTGGGACTGTGTGGTGTGGGGCTGTGCGGTGTACTGAGTTTGTGCGACAGATGCTGGGCTGAAGTCAGATGACCTGGGATTGGGGAATTAACAAACATAGGTGCTGGGAGGAGCAGGCGGGTAGGTGGCAACGAAGAAGGGCTGGGCGTGGGTGAAATGTTAGAGGAAGAAAAACTAAGTGGGAAAGGAGACAGTGTATTAGAGGCAGGGTCGGAGGAGATGGATGTGTTCCTAACTAGCCTACAATAGGGAAAATCATTTTCAAAAAAATTGAATATCTCGACTAACATAGACCCGAACAAAGATAAGATCTAGACATCAGTAACTCTTATAACCCGGAGCATATCCAAGAAAAACACAATGAATAAAATGAGGTGAGAGCTTATGAGAGGACCTGGCAATAAAGTTAGGAAAACACGCACATCTAATAATCCGAAGAAAGGAAAAATCGGGGGATTTATTGAAAACTTTTTCAAAGGGAGTTAAATTATTAAGTATGGGGATAGGCAGGCGATTGACAATATAGGTAGCAGTATACAGAGCATCAACCCAAAAAGTAGAAGGAATTGAGGAATATTTAATCAACATGGTCCTAGTCAATTCAAGAAGATGCATGTGTTTAGGATCAGCAACACCATTTTGAGCCGGAGTATCCGAACAAGACTTTCGGAAGAAAATACCGGATTTTAAAAAATGGTGTTGTCAAATTCACCACCCCCATCACTCTGAAAAGTCTTGATTTTTTTAGTAAAAAGATTTTTCACAAGAGTTTGAAAATTACAAAAATGAGTAAACACTTCAGACTTGCGCCACATAGGATAAATCCACGTATAGCGAGAAAAATCATCAATAAAGCATACATAATATTTAAAACTCAAATTGGATAAAACAGGCAATTGCCAAACATCAGAATGAATAAGTTCAAGTGGTGCAATACAATTATGAATAACATCCTGAAACGGGAGTCTGTGGGATTTACGCAACTTACAAGAGACACAATAGTGAAGAAAACTACTAGAAACTGAAATTAATTTATTTTTCCGAAGTCTTTGTAAAACTCTATCACCACAATTCCCCAAACGTTTGTGCCAAGTAGGTCCAGGAACTAAGGTTGCTTGAAGAGAATGGAAAGGATAGAGATGGTCTTTATTGGAGCCCTGAAGAAGATGCACCCCCGTCAGATTGTCCTTAATAGAAAAAGATTTTTTTATTAAAAATCATTGTGCAATCATTATCCGCACACAACTTATGAATAGACAGTAAATTATATTTTAAGTGTGGGACATTATAAATGGAGTTTAAAGAAAGCATGCGACCAGAAGTAAAAATTTTAAGACTACCAACATGAGATATGGGTAATTTGGTACCATTAGCAACTTGCACTGAATTAGGACCGGTGTAAGGGAGTTTACAAGAAAGAATACCTTCATGAGGGGTCATATGAGATGAGGCACCCAAGTCAGGATACCACACAGAAGCATTAG